AAAAAAAAAAAGGATACTACAGAGCCTCAAACACAGAGATCTTCCAGAAGGACATGAAAGACTAAATAAGAAATTAAAATCTAAGTTAACTGAAGATTGTTCAGATTATAATATAAATAACTTTAAACTAAAAGGACACGCCTTATCTGTCCCTTCAAGTGAAAGTTTTTTGAAGGCAGAGGCAAGGTCTTTATATCACTCATTAACAGCACAGTTTATTATACTTTAAAAAAACAAAACAAAACAAAACCACCATCACAACAAAACCTCCAGTATTTATTTGCTGAATTGCCCTTGTTGAAGAGGGAATTCCCATTGATGAAGGGGCTGACCAAAGAATGGGGTAGGAAAGATCTGAGAAGCACAGAGAACACACCAGGGTAGTAGAAAAACAGGAAAATCCTTTTAGGTGGACACCAAAATAAAGGCAGATAATGATATGCAACCGTGAGATAGAAAATAAAATTCAAATATCAAAAAAAGAACACTCAAATCTTATCCTAGATGTGGATCTAGGATGGGGTGGAGGACTGGGGAGGGAGGGACCTAATGAGAAGCGCAACAGTACTGAAGAGTGTTGGGTGCTGGGGGAGGAAAAGGGCCTCCAGCTCACCTGGGACTCTGGAGTGAGCCTGGCAGCTACCACTGAGTCTTCTCTGCAGCTGCCTCCCTGGGCAATCCCAGGAACCTGGAGAACTAAAAAAAGAAGCTCTGGATGAGTTCTACCCTGGCATTCAGGCTTCTTGCCTGTGGAACCCAAATTGAAAAACTGCGTTAGTAAATTCTTGCCAACAAGTCTATAAAATATGTTCCTTTCCAAAATGCCTGATACCTACCAGCTCCGATCCTAGGGCCTAAGGAGTTCTGGAATGTTCCTGCAGATACACAAAAACCAGGGCAGAATCCTTGGTCGGAGTGGTGAAATGAAAGCAACATAAAAACAAAACAAAGCTTTCCATATGAACGCCTTTCAGTCTTGAATTTTGCTGAGAAATGGGGATAGAAGATGTTTTTTTTGTTTTGTATTTTTTTTTAGGTTTTTCTTTTTAGTTAAAATGTCTTCAGTGGCTATTAGGGTGCTTTCTACATTGGTTTTGAAGATCTGAGTGTACTTAGATAGAAATGGGCTCATAAAAAAGGATATGGGTTTGTTTATATAGAACTTGCTCAGATTCAAGAGACGAGTAGAGGGGAACCTCAGGTTTCCCTATAAAAAGTGAACTTTGCAAGGGGCAGAAACAAGTTGGTTTAGGCCAGGACCTCTGTTGAGAAATAAAGACTGCATGTTGGATGGCATGTCCAACTGCTGTACATCCTGGGAACCTGCCCAAATCTTCATAGCCGATGAGGAACACCCTGGAACATACAGTAGCTTCCTACTGGGTGATTTTCACCCTGTTCTAGTTAGACCTTACAGGGTTTAGAAGATTCACATTGTTCAATGTGTAGTAGTCCTACTATTTCCGGAATATTCTGGCTGGCTTTACAAACTCTGCTATATTTTCTTCATAGTACTTACCAATATCTACAATTGCATTATTAATTTATTTGCTATCGTACCTATGGATTGTAAGCTCCACCAGAGCAAGAATTCTGCCCTACTGATGGCTCTGTCCTTAGAGCCTACAACACCGACTACCATAGAGGAGGCCTCCATAAATATATATGAAATGAATGGAGATCACTGTGTTGTTAAACAATCAATTCTTTCCAGTCTTATTTACCATGTCCAGGTTTGGTTAGGAAAGCTTTCCACCATCGTCTGAAACTTCCTTTTTAGTCTCAGTCTTAGAGTTGATCAGTGATGGGCATACAAAGTAACTGTCAATGGATCTATCTTTTAGGTGACGCTTAAATAAAATTAGATGAGCTCTGTAGAATTCATAGAGCTCAGAAGATAATACTCACCTCTGTCTTGTAAGGCCTGCAATCCCAGAGATTCATGCTTGAGCAGAGCCTTCACTGGCTGGTATTGGCTACTTTGTGACCCATGAGCTGGTGTCAACAGTGCCACCTTGCAACAGAGCAGTTCTTGTCCCCGGTCACCACCTGGGACCTGGAAGTCATTCATTTATCTTAATTTATTCATCAAACACTTCTATCATGCTTTCTGTGTACAAGTAATTCTATTTTCAAATCACTGTTTCCAAGAGCTCTATGAATATTAACTCATTTAATGCAGACAACAACCCTATGAGCTATTACTATCTGGATTTTTGTGATGGGGAAACTGAGGCACAGAGTTTAAGCAACTTGCCCAAGTCACCCAGCTAGTAAGTGGCAACACTAGGATGGGAGCTCAGGCAGAATGACTCTAGAGCCCACGTTCTTACCTTTACTCTAAGCTCCTTCATTATATACATTGGTGCTTCTATGAAAACCTCTGGAAACTGGTGTTAAATTCTCAAAGAATGCTAATATCTTTCCTTATCTGAAAAATGGGAATAATAATTTCTAGCTTATGGAGGTTGGGGGACCAAGAAATAAGATCACAGTATGTGACATCATCTAACACAGGGCCTGGAACATGGCATATCCTTGTTAAATGCAGGCTTCCTGCAGACATTTATAGTTACATTATGATTTTCAAGTTAGTTTCTCATGTGCACCTCAGAATTTCCCATGTCCTTTATAAAGAGTGAAGCTAAGAGACTTGAATTGATTTTTCACTTACAGAGCTCATGAGCAATAGATGTAAGTCAAGAACCTGGATCTCCTGGTCACTGGTTAGACTGCTCTGACCACATGTTCTCTACGGGAATGTGCACAAGGACACAGGATGATGCAGAGGAAACAGTCTCATAAAACAGGTAAGAAGATGGAGTTAAACACTGACCCATTTTTTACCAGAGGTTCATAACTAGTGGTCCATGGACTCTCTCTCTAGCGGTCCATGACCTTAGCTAGGAAAAAACTTCTTATTTATACTAGCTCTAAGAAAATTTTAGCATTTCCTTCAATTATAGATGGAAGCAACAAATCAATGTGACATAAGCAGTACCCAGATCGTTGTCACCAACAGAAACTGCAGATGTTTTCACATCACATCACATCCAAATATTCACGCTTATCACCACTTTGAAATTGCCAGAAGCCCTGTCCCTAGGTCTTATTATTTAGTGCATTACCAAAAACACACACATATATAACTTTATCACAAACTTGTTTAATATGAGGTGTCTTAAAAAAGTTCATGGAAGATTAGTATTATCTTTCCATTCTATTTTTCCACAAACTTTTTCAAGTACCCTCCTACTTTGTATTTCAATATGACTGAGTTCTTTTGTAATCCTTTATATTTTCCTTTATATATTTAAAAATATTATCTTAAGAAGGGGTCCAGGGACTTCACCTTCCTGCCAGAGAGGTTCACAGTACATAAAGAGATTGAGAACTCCTAGATCTTGAAGGAATGCCCCTCACTCGGATCTTGAGATTTCAGGAAAAAACAGAACACAGCTCTGATACTAGCGGGAGCACCGCTGCACACCCAGGCGCCGGACTCTCCCCAGTGCGCCACAGGGCCAGCCCGAGAACTCCTGGATCTTAAAGGAATGCCCCTCACTCGGATCTTGAGATTTCAGGAAAAAACAGAACACAGCTCTGATACTAAACCTGTTCTTTCTACCTGGGACATCTGTTCGTCCAGCTGCCTCTCCAAATACTCCAACAGCACCACCACCTCCTCCCCGCTCTCTGGATGCTGCTCCCGCACCCAGCTCTGCAGGTCCCCCGGCAGGATGGTCAGAAACTGCTCTAGCACCAGCAGCTCCAGGATCTGTTCCTTGCTGTGCATCTCGGGCCGCAGCCACTGGCGGCAGAGCTCCCGGAGCCGGCTCAGCGCCTGTCGAGGGCATGCAGCCTCCGGGTATCGGAAGCCTCGAAAGTGCTGGCGGGAGCGCTCAGGACTGTGAGCGGAGCTGCCAGGCAAACTGGCTTCCTCCACCAAGGCGGACGCTTCTTCTTCCTCCACCTTTATGACCAGGAGCCCCAAATGGTCCTCTGCAGATTGGGCATCCAGGGTTGTGCTTTCTCTTGATTCTCTAGCCATCCTGGGCCAAGGAGGTACTAAGGCCTCACTGGAGCTGTGAGCTGAATTTCTGTAGAAGATTCCTGAAAGGTGAAAATGAACCACTTAACCAGTAAACTTGCAAGCAATCCCCTCCTCTCACGCCCAGGAGCCCAGGGACATTGCCAGGGAGCAGCTGCAGAGATTTCTTCCCCACATTCAAGTGCCTCTGCAGCTTCAATCTCTGCACCACCCCAAACATGAATCCCACAATAAGCTCCCAAAGGATGTCTTGGAGTGGGCCTGGAAACCCCCCTAGACCCTTAACAGATCAGGAGAGAAATTAAGACCGGCACAGCCAACTTTCGGTGGGGACCAAGGCCACTTCCAGAGCTCTCTTGGAAGCTCCTCTCATTGGTTGGCTCAGAGTTACCACATTAGCAACCAAATCTGTGGTTGACTGAATTGGAGGATGACCCTAAAGATTTCCTGCGCTAATCCCCAGAACTTTGAATATATTGAGATAGCATGCCTGGACTGATCACAAGGAACTTAATTCTACCAACAACCTCAATGAGCTTGTAAGTGGATTCTACCCTAGGGCCTCTAGATAAGAAGAACCCAGCTCTACCAACACCTTGACTTTGGCCTTGGAAGACCTTAAACAGAGTATTAAGCTGAATCTACCGGTCTCCTGACCTACAGAACTGGAAATAATAAGTAGGTTTTGTTTTAAGCTGTAAATTTTTGGTAAATTGTTAGCAAAATAGGAAAATAAAACTAGGACTTATCTGTGGTCAAGGTACCACAGATAGGGGAATGAGAAAGAAAAGATGACAGGCCCTGGATCAAAAGAAATAGGACTCAACACCAAAGTCAAGGGTTTGGATCCCTGGACTGGCCAGCCACCAAAACAAAAAACAAAAAAACAACCCATCAGATATAAAAGAAATAGGACTGAATTTTTAAACCCTGGATGCCTATTAATGAGACTCTCAATTCTCTCTGATGTGAGACTTGCCCAAGCAACTGGCTTAAAAGTGACACTTAAATTCAGCTGAAAGTAGGGCTTTCCCAGACCCCTTTGTGCTTTGTGCTGGTGAACCTTCAGTTTCTCTTAGAAACATCAAAGAAGCAGAAAACATCACAAAGTTCTTGCCCTGGGGAGAGCGGTAGCTGCCCCTGGTTCTTGCCCCCTCAATCTGCCATTCTCTTTCCTCCCCTTGAAGGCCAAACTTCTTAAGAGAAAGCCCTCCAGACCCCAGCTCTAGTCCTCACCTCCCCCTAAGCCTCTGACTCATTGCAGGCAGCAAACCACCACCAAGGCCACTAAGATTGCTCCTGCAGAAGTAACCNCTCGGGCCGCAGCCACTGGCGGCAGAACTCCCGGAGCCGGCTCAGCGCCTGTCGAGGGCACGTAGCCTCCGGGTATCGGAAGCCTCGAAAGCGCTGGCGGGAGCGCTCAGGGTCCGAAGCTGGGCTGCCGGGTGCGCTCGCCTCTGCCGCAAAGGCGGGGGCTTCCTCCTTCTCCTCCTTCACGGTCAGGAGCCCCATCTGGTCCTCTGCAGACTGGGCGTCCAGGGCTGCGTTTTCTCTCGATGCTCTGGCCATTCTTGGTCAAGGCAGTGCTCGGGCTTCACGCTAGCTAGCTGCGAGCTGTCTATCTTTAGAGGATTCTTGAAAGGTGAGAAATCACCATTAGCCAGTAAAACGACAAGTGGTCCCCTCCTCTCATGCCTAGGGGCCCATGACCCCCTGAGGCACGGCTGCTCAGATCTCTCCAGTAGTCCTTGTCTTTGCAGCGTCCTCCTCTGCACCCGACCCTGAGTCCCACTACAGGTATCCCCAAAGGATGTCTATGGGTGGAAGTGAACACTCTCCAGACACAGGAGACAAGTTGAGGCTTGGGGACAGGAAGCCTCGGTGGGAACCAATGCCACTTCCTGGGCTGTCTAGGAAGTTCCTCTCGGTGGTTGTCTCGGAATTAACCCATTAGCGACCCTGTCCTTACCTCCACTCAAGGGAGGGTAGTTAGGGAGAGAGAAAGAAAGGATGACAGACCCTGGATCATAAGAAATACAACTGAATCTTTAAATCCTAGAAGGAAGCTGCTGTGTCCCCCAATTCTTTCTGATGTAAAGGTTGACTACGCAGCTGGCATAAAATTGACACTACAATTCAGCTGAAAAGCAGGTACATGTCTGGAGAGAGTAGTGGCTGCCCCTGGTCCTTGTCCCCTCTGCCTCCTTAATCTGCCACTTTCTTTCCTCCCCTTCAAGGCCAAACTACTTGACAGAAAGCCCTCCCCAACATGACTCTAGTCCTCATCTCCCAATAAGTATCATTAACACACCATAGGCAGTAAACTGCCAAGGTAGCCACTGAGATTGCTCCTGCAAATCTCTCAGATTCCTCACCACCACCGTCCCACCCCACCCCACCCCAAGTTACCACTTTACATTTCCATGGCCTCTTCTCAGAGAACCAGGCTTACACCGCTCTCCACTTCCAGAAACTCGTCCCTAGCTTCTCAAACCCCATTCTGTCCTGTTTTCTTCCCAGTCCTCATTCACAGTCTATCACGGTGGTGCGATACACAGACTCTCAAGCAGATTACCTGAGTAATTCTGGCTTTACCACTTACAACCTAGGTAATCTTGGTAAACTACCTAACCTCTGTGTGCCTGAATTCACGAATCTATAAATAGGAATAGTAGGTAAGGATATAGTAGGCATTAGTACGGATTAGGTAATGTTGTGAGCATTATTGTATAAAGTGCTTAGAACAATGCCTTGTATGTAATAAACTAGGCCTACCATAAGATGGAAGGAAGCCCTGAGATATCTTCCAGCCAGATGGGACTAGATGTTAAGACATAAGTGACTGCATGTTATATGGCTGAACTGAAGTGTCAGTAAGTCCCCTTTCTGCCCAGTGGAATGGAGAAGCTAGAAAATGCAAGTTTAGTAGAAGGTTATCAGCAGGGAAAATACCATGTCAGTACCTTCCTGAGTTTTTATAATTCAGCCTCTCTCTCCACAGTTCAAAGGATGACAGGGAAAGGAGAGAAAAGAAAATGAGAGGTCTCAAAGGCTCTTGCAAATGAAAACTATTATAAAATATTTTTCTCTTAATGAGCTCCTGTACCACAGGGAACTACCCATAAAATAAGTGAACCTGAATCTAATTAAGTTTCTAGATCCTAATACTTGTGTACAGGTGAGATACAGAAGCAAGTTAAGTTAGCAGTTTTCAAACTCTGCATCACATTAGAATCATTGGGGAGCTTTTCAAACATCCTGATACCTTGGCTGTAACCAAGATCAATTAAATCAGAATGTCACAGAATGGGACTCAGGCATGAATAACTTTTAAAATTTCCTAGGTGATTCCAACATGCAGGTGAGTTTGAGAAATAATGAGTTAAATGATACTTTTTAAAAAAGCAATCAGCCAAATCCAGAATATGGCATATTCTATAAGACAGAAGACCCAGGTTCTTCAACAAATAAATGGCATTTTTCAAGAAATGCAAGGGAGAAAGGGGAACTGTCACAGATTAAAAGAGACTGAATAGACATATCAACTAAATTCAATGTTTTGGACCCTGATCAGAACAAAATAACTGTAAAAAGACATATTTGAGAAAACTGGGAAAACTAGAACGTAATGATATTAAGAAATTACTGTCAATTTAGTTGTCATAATGATATGGTTATGTTAAAAAAGTCCTCATTTGTTAGAATTTCACAGTGAATTGCTTGCACTTGTGGGTGAATTGATATTGTGTCTGGGATTTGCTTTAAAATACTGAGAGAGAGAGAAGCAAAGAAAATGGCACAAACATGATAGTTGTTGAAGCTGCGTAAGAGGCACATGGGGGTTCATTGTAATATTCTTTCTACATTTATGTATGTTTGAAATTTTCCATAGTAATTTTCTTTCAATTAGAAAAACAAAACCCTACCTTCCTTCATTCCTGAATAATTCAGTCCAAAAGCCATTAGGTGGGTCCAAAGGAGGTGGGAGAGGAGGTGGCAGTCCAGCCCATACTGAATTTGAAGTCCAAACGAGTAAGAGAGGGAGCTAAGTTGGGAAAATCGACACTGAGACATTACTACCATCTATTCCACAGGTCCCATTCCAGTTTCACCAACCATACAATTTGAGATCTGAGCTCAACTGAGAGAAGTGAGAAGGCATAAGGAAACTGATTATATGCAGGAAAAATTGATCAAATAAGTAACATATTGAAGATATTAGGAGTCAAGTTTCTCACTGTCAGAGATGGGAGTTACAAACATGGAAAAGAAAAAGGCCAAAATGGACCCTTGTAATATTGGAATGGAATTAAAGGTGTCCGTGTGAATTCAAAGTCCCACTATCTATAGTTACTTATAGAAATAAATATGGATGTAGGTGCATAAGGTGTGTGATCCACATGAGCGAGGGGTCTCCTGGAGACAAGACTCTCAAAAGCTGACAGATTTTCAACACTGATCAATCAGAGTCCATATACCTCAGTCCTTCTTTATTGTTAAAAATGTCTTCTGATTTTTCAAGGGAGCCACGGAAAAGGCATGTCCACGTCTTGCTGCCACGAACAACACAAACCATTTGGGAGAGGCTGTTCTTAAGAATATCTGGTCCCCCCCCCCACCCCGACCCCCACCCGCAATAGGAAATCGTCCATTACAAAGAAAATTGACAAAAGATCTTCACATGTAAAGAAATGGTAACAAAAGCCAGTCATCAAGACACTAACGATAATGTGCCCATTACAGAAAGAAATAATAATAGTAACTGTAATAATTAACAATTGTAAATTTTACACCATG